TGTAACTTCAAATGGCTGTAACTTTTTTAAAATAATATTATTATTTTTTAAACTTTTTTGCTTTTTTAATCATGTAACGTTTAAAACGTTACATTTTTGTTCTTATTAATTTCAAAGTACTCTCCATTATTTTCTGCTCATACTATTTTATTTTCGTTGATAATAACTTCTTTTTCCTTTGTTTGTGTTCCTATATTTCATTTCAATATTTTCCTATTACAAATAAATTCACCGAATAATTTCTTAAGTCCCCTCGTAGTTATACCTTCGCTTACTTTATCATACAAGAAACAGAAACCCCACCACTAAATAATTTACTTCTATCAATCCGATCCGATTTAATTGCTTTTTAAAATAAACCAGCAAACGACAAGGTACTCAAAAATAAATCTTCGTGGTCAGAAACTTCCAACAGTCTGACCACCTTCGTTTTGGTAAGAAAATCTACAGTTGACCTTGGTTATGGTTAAAGAAAATTCACGTTGACCTTGGTTTTGGTATAAGAAAATCTACCTTGGTTTTGTTTTGAAAATCCACATGGTTTTTGGATTCAAGAAAATCCATATGGTTTTGGTTTAGAGGCATGGTTTTTGCAAATAGTTTATGGTTCGAGTTGAGAAGAGAGCAACAGCAGGATTTCTCATAGAGTTAAGCTAAGTTTCTTTCTTTCTTTGAATTTTGTATGTAGATGCTTAATTCTCTGTTGCTAGAACCTCAATTTTTAATTGTTATTACATTTTGATTTGTTATTTTATTAACGTATAAATTAATAAAGATATGTGTTGAAAAATTATTTTATTAATAATTCCGATTTCTCAAATTAAATTAGTTTATGCCGAACAACACCCCTGAGGGGTTTCAATGTGCAATGGATGAGCTAGTTGTTACAATCACTTTTTCGAAAAACTAGTTTATTCGTAGTTGGCCATAAAATTACAATTAGTTTCTACGTATACAATAATTACAAACAGTTCCATCAATAATAGTCAATAATTTGAAGCTATTATTTATGGTGTGAATAAGATTAATATTAAAAATTTTGATATTAAAATGGCCTACACATTTCAGGAAATGGCAGATATGCATTTAACTTTGGGTAAGTTGGATCAGATTAAATGATGATTTCAATAAACTATCGGAAATATCGTAGGTGAATGTCAAGGAAATAGTGCAGCAGCCGCAAGGCGTTATGCAGTAAAATACCCCAATCGAAATACACCCGATAGACGATTATTTCTGACCATTGATCGTCGTTTACGGGAAACAGGTACATTCCAACCGCAAGTTGCTGGCAATAGTGGTCGTCCAATAATGGATGCAACTGATGAAGACATTTTAGAAATCATTGAAGAAGTCCCTGGAACAAGTACAAGGATAATAGCTGCTCAACTAAATGTTCCTCACGTAAGGGTTTGGAGGCGTTTGAAGAATCAGCTGCTTAAACCCTATCACTTAACAACGGTTCAAGAGTAGTATTGGTTGAAGATTATCCTAAAAGGATTGGATTTTATTGGTTGTTAATGGAAAACACTCGAAATGTTAATTTTATTAGAAATATTTTGTTTACCGACGAGGCTACTTTCAGTGAAAATGGAATAACAAACCATCATAACGAGCCCATTTGAGCCAACGAAAATCCTCACACCAAAAAATGACTCATCACCAAATGACTTTCAAAGTTTATGTTTGGGCGTATCCTGGTCGGTGAATTGGAAGGGATCGTGATGCACTTATTTCTTGGCCACCCAGAAGTCCAGGTCTTAACCCCATGGACTTTTGCTCTTGGGGGTTTATAAAAGAGAAAGTGTATTCTGTAACAATAGAGGACGAACAACAATTGAAGGTTAGAATAATTGAAGCTGCAAATCAATTTGGTCAGAAAAATATGATTTTTCAGCGCATTCGGTTTTCCTTATTAAAACGACACCAAATGTGTATTGAAGAAAATGAGGGTCACTTTGAACATTTATTGTAATATCATATTTATAGAGGTTATAAACATTTTTTGTACTTGTTAATTCATTTAAACCATTTATTTAGTTTCACGTAATTTGTTAAAGGTTAATGAAAAGGGCCGTAACTTAATAAAAACTATTTTTTGAAAAAAGTGATGAGGCAAAAAATTTTAAAAATAATGTATTCAACTAATGATGCACAAAATTCATTTGATTTGAACTGAAAATTTGTACTTTAAAGTTTGGGGGAATTTAGTTCTGTACACCCCCCTTAAAATTTTTCTGTGCGATTAGATTTTGTTGCTTTTTTTTTTATGAAAAATGCTTTCAGAACAAGAAAGTAACGTGTCCATCTTTATTACAAAATGTCTAGTAGTTTAGGAGATAATGCAAAAAAACTTATTTTATTTTGTAACTAAATTTTATATGGAGAGATGTGAAGGCGTTAGTCTACGACGATAAGCATGAATTGATTGACGACAAATATTGCAAAAAGTGATCAAAAACTGGACCTCCAGATTAGACTACGTCAGAGCCAAACTTGACGGTCATATATCAGAAATCATATTTAAATTGTAATGACAAAAGATTATCTTTCGAATAAAGTCGATTTCATATCAATTGATAAAAATCACTTTGTTTTATTCTATTTTAAAGTGTTATACCTCTAAAAAAAAAACACTCTTTACCATCCATTGGATTGCACCGGAAATTGCATTATTTTTCAATTCTCTAAACGAAAACAAAAAAAAAAAAATTTAAGTCTCATCTGTCATCACATTTTTTATTGGAAATAAGAAGTATTTGTTTATTATTCAAGAATTTTGTATCAATTAAACAAATAGATTAAGTTTTGATTTCCGAGCAAAAGAAATATAATTTTTATTATTTTTAATCTGACTCTACAGACGTTTTCCTATCTTAGTTATATGGTTCAAAAAATGAATACAATTTGGTTTGTTTCCGGAAATTAATTTGGAGTTAATTTTACTTGGCAACCTACTCCTTGTTATATGGGTACACAACATTGTAGCAACAATTTGGCGTAAGTTGTAATCGATTGCCACGTTATAAATGAATTCTGCTCTATAGGATTTAACCGCGACATTTTCTACTTTGTTGATTTCGATTCCATCGATTCTGTTCAACTTCACCTTCACGTTGTTCGGCAATTTTAATTAACTCGTATTTTTTTACTTGCAGCATTGCGAGTTCTTCGTCGTAAGTTGGTACATCTAATTGGTGGCATTTAAGACTCAAAATTAAAACTAAAAATAAAAAAAATGACTGCCCTAGTGTTTCTGTATATCCGTGTATACCGCATGTTAGTCTATCAAAACTTACCAAAAATTGATATCATATTAAACTCTTAATATCAGGCGTGATTGCGATGAACTAACTGAGACGCTTTTTAACTCTTGTTTATAATTTAGTTTTGAAAACACTCACTGAACAAAGTAAAACATGGATAAAAATTTCAATTAAAAGAACAGTACAATAAGAACTCATGCAGAACAGTGGTGTTCTGCGTGATATACAGAAAGTCTCTCTAGTGTTCTAAATGTATCCCCCCTTTTATGGTAATGTCCTACCTTCATCAAACTAAACCAACCAAAATTGTTTATTAATTAACAATTGCATTTAAATTTATATACACTGAATATACGGTTACAGATGAACATTAGAGCGTATGGAGTTAGAAATTAGAAAGAGGTAACAAGATCACCTATTTGAGCGCCAACGTTAGCGATAACTGGGATATATACAAAGAAACAAGAATACGCAATGGAAAAGCCAGAGCCGTCTTCTATAATCGAAAGAATATTCTCATTAATAAAAATAATAATAATAATAATAAATAATAATAAAAAAATACAGAATTAAAAAAGCGAAAGAACAATGGTTAAAAGAACAATGCGCAGAAATAGAAGAATACCAGAAAAGACATGCTAGTTTTAACAATAAAAAATTAAAGAATTAACTCACAACAATTTGCTAAATGCTGCCCACGTTAGGCCTATTCGCATCTGTATTTCATTTGTTTGATTGTCTCTGCTTATTTTGATTTCGTGTCCCAGATATTTGTAAGTGTCTGTTTGTTGTATGGTATTATTGTCAATAGTTATATTTCCACTCATTACGAGATTTGTTATAAGTTTAGTTTTCTCAAAGTTTATCTTTAATCCTGCTCTTTCAGACAGACTTTAGAGAGAATGCTTATATATATATATATATATATATATATATATATATATATATATATATATATTATATAATAATACTACTAAATTACTTGGTAATACAAGGAAATACTTCAATAATTTAATTTTATCTGCTTCGTATATCGTGACGAAATTCTAGGAAAAAAAAATTCATGATACTCTCTCGACATGGTAAGTATTTGTTCTTACATTTAGCTTACTCATTAAATTTAGGTGTCCCATATTTCTTGTATATATCCTAAACAGTTACTTTTAGACCAAATAATGTTATGTCCAAAGAACCATATAATTTTACTGTACTACTAAGTATCGGGATCCCATTAAAATAAAAATATATATCTACGCGTCTCAAGAATTTTCAAGTCTTCACAATTTTTCTTCTTATTTTCTCTAATTTCTTTTCTCCCCGTCAGACTCTCAATCACTCGGAAGTGGCTTTCCTTCAAGGAATTGTATCTCAGTAAATTTTCGCCTTCTTCGATCAGCATTATTATGCAAATTGCCTTTTTACTCTCCAATAAAATAAGTCTGGTGAAAAAGAAAAAGAATTGGATTCGAGAATAATGGTATATTTGGTAAGCAAGCAATTGTTAGCCATTGAAAGTCACTTTTGCATTAGATACAATTCAAATGATTTTCATTTAACCCAAATAAATTATATTGTTTTCGCATCATTTTAAAACAATTTTCAATTAAGATAGTTTTCATTCCCAATAAATATAGCAGATAATGCTATATTTGTACCAAAAAATATATAATAAAAGACAAAGCTCTACAGACAGGCAGTTTTCGAATAAAATAATTGAATTAATGTCATTCTTACATTGATGTTAATAATTCTTGGAAGAGGATGCTTGGTATTCGCGCCACCTTCGATAGCTATCCCAAGAATCGGTTTGGTCTTCTTAACAGTAATCCTTAAATTGCCTTCTTCGTCTTGGACAACCTTCGCAGGATCTCTGTGTTCAGGAAGCATCCCGTCTCGTGCTAGCCTCTGCATCGATTGGTGCCGCCTCATACCTCCCTCGGTCTCTAGAAGATTTTGTTCATCTTTCATATCAAAACTCCTGGAAAGTTTGTGGGCTAGTTCCTGAAAAGAATAGAAGAATTTGGTTAGGTTTCGAAATTTTCATTATTTCTAGTTTGTTATTCAATTATCAATACCAAGAAATTGGTAAAAATAATATAAAAACTAATGAAATAAACATAATTGCTTTAAAACACATATAACACTTTGTGTATATATATATATATATACATATATATATATATATATATATATATATATATATATATATATATATATATATATATATACATATATATATATATATATATATATATATATATAATGTATAGGAAGTAAAATATTAAAACTAAATAATGAAGTGGTTATACAGTACATAACCAAGTCTCAATTATTTTCTAAACTAGAAAGACATTTTTTGGATACTGAATTAAATTTGTTATGAAATTCTCTGGCATATTTAATTAAAATTGCAGTTGGGATCATATGACAGCTAATACATAATTTAAAAGTCTTCTCAAGGCACCTGTCTAATTAAAAATTTCTAATTTCATTTAGAAGTATCGCACAAAACCGCGTTTAAAAACATTTATGAAAGGTCAGTAATATCATGAACAGTTTCCTCTGATTCAGTTGTCCAAAAAATTAGTAATTTACGTTTTAAATTTTAGAAAATATTTGCATGGGAAAGACTTTAGGCACTGTACTGTAAAATAATAAAAATCAATACATATTTATATATCAAAATAGATAGACTAAAAAAAGCTTCAGTCGAGTGTTTCTTGATATTGTTCTTGGACCGTTTTAGAACTTCGCAAGACATCTTGTGTTTTTTTCTTCTTTTCAGAATGGCTAAAGAATATTGTTTAACAAAAAATTATAACAACTTAGTTTACAAAAAAACATTTAAAAGAGAAAAATTTTCTATTCTCAATAATTTTTATATTACTTGAAAAATTTGTTGCAGAATCTCTGACGACAGTAAGACTGTTACATTATTGTATTTATCTGAAATTAAGCCACAACTGGTTATAATGGAAATTATATTTTACACTTCTATTTGACCTTACGATGTTTTTTAATTGGCACTTTTTAACATCTAATTTGACAGTTGACTTACTTGGCCTTGATTTTTGTAGGTAAAAAGCCATGTTTTGAGTTGAAATTTTGAGGATGATGTTTTACTGTCCGAATTGATATCAAATTCTGATTTTCGTGTGCTTATGTAATTAATTGTAGATAATGTATCTTTGACCTTCTGTTAATCCACTAATGTTGGTATATTCTTATTACTAACCTCTTCTTCTAGTATTGCTAACCAGGCTCTAGCCAGCTCAATAGACATCCGGTGAAGAGTAAGATCAGGCAACATTATGTTCCCAAATTGTTCTTAATAGTATTATAACATATTTTCAGAATACTGAACTAAGAGGACAGAGGAACCATTATAACCCTTGCTCTGCGGATGACGTAGTGTTAACAGTTGATGACTTAAAAGAAGCTAAATACATGCTGAAAACTTATTGATTTGGATTGGTATTGTATAATTAGTACTGAGAAGAACTCATTGCAGCAACAGTAAAAGTGGAATTAAAAAATTGATAAAAGCAAATCTAAAATGATGACCAAGCTAGTACACAGAGACAATATCAAGATCTGGAAAAAAATAGTGAACTTATTTACAAATTTAGATATTTGGGACATAAAAATCATAAGAGATAATCAGACATAAAGACAAAGAGGATCCCTGGGCTAGGCTGTCTACGCCAAAACAAGATACATTTTTAAATCGAAAAAGCCCGTTAGTAACAAAAGAAGGGTGTTCAACCGATTTGCCTTGCCAATCCTTATATAAGAAGCCAAAATTCTTACTCTTATATACAAAAAAAAAATTGCCAGACAGTTAAAAATAACCTAAAAAAAAAATGAAATGCATAATGCGTGGCCTAACACTGAGAGACCGGTTGCACGATGGGGACGGAAAAGGAAGATTTTTGAATAAAATCCAAACAGTGATAAATGCAGATAAGGCAGACCTCCCATCCACTGCTCAGATGACATCAAGAGGATCTCAATGAATTGGGTTGCAACTGAACAAGAGAGAAATAAACGGAAAAACCTTGAAAAGGCCTATGTCCAACTGTGAACAGAGGCGTCCGTTTTGAGTAGACCAACGGTTATTTTAATGCACAATATTGAATGATGCAAAAAAAATACTAGATAATAAATTTTTAGTTATTATAGTACTAAAAAGTACTCTTAATTTTAGTCGGTAAGATACATATAAGTATAACTTACGTTTTTGTGGCATTCAAACAGAACAATTTCAAAAAGGAAAACACAGTTAAGATTTAATTTCACGTATAGTGCGTCTGTGCATCCGCTTATATGTATTTCGGCCTAACAGGCCTTGCCAGAACGGCTTTCACAGTCGCTCTGCTCTAAACGTGAAAATAAATCTATTCTGTCTTAGGAAGCAACTCTAACATGGCTTCGAATGGACGCAATTCCCCATATGTCCCTAATAACATCTTTATCAACGTCTGTTTTGCCTTACAATTCTTAGAAGGCACAGATTAAAGATGAATTTACAGATTTTATATTAGATGTCGCTATTTGCGTCCGTAGTCATGTTAGAGTTGCTTCCTAAGACAGAATAGATTTATTTTCACGTTCAGAGCGACTGTGAAAGCCGTTCTGACGAGGCCTATTAGGCCGAAATACGTATAAGCGGATACACAGATGCACTATACGTAAAATTAAATCTTAACTGTCTTTTCCTTTTTATTCCTATTTAGTCTGTAAGAGTACTAGAAACCAATTCGCTAAGGATTTTTGCTTAGTTAAGGAGATATGTCATGGAATGCAAATTTTAGATTCCCCATGTCTCTAGTAACATCTTTATCAACGTGTTTTGCCTTGCAATTCTTAGAAGGCACAAATTAAAGCAAAAATCTGAATTTGGTTTCGAAAATTAGTTTACGGATTTTAGAACAATTTCAATTCAACATAAATGATTTTTACTAATGAGGAATACGCTGATATGCATTTAGTATATGACGAGATGAGGTATCAAGCAAGGTCAGGTCAAGCAGCACAACGTACTAGATACGCTAAAAAATCTTCCAATCGTGAACTCCAATAACTCAACATTTACAGCACTTCACCAACGATTAAGAAAAGCAGGTTCAGTGGTCCCAAAAAATAATGAAGCAGGATTACATAATAATGTAACAGCAGCACCTTGAAGATGTTATTTTAATGGAAGTTGAGGACAATCTCGAAATTCGCGTTCGAAGACTATCTGCTACGTATCCTACAATTTCAAAATTTTTCGTAACAAATTTCTAACACAAGAAAAATTTATATTGTTTCGATTTTACAAAGGTACAAGCACTGCTACAAGGAGATTTTCCTTTAGTGAAAAATTCGCTAGATGGTTACAAATTTAAAAAAATCAAAATGAAAATTTTTTCAGATACATTTTGTTTTACGGCAAAGGTACATTCACAAAATATGGAATTTTTAATGTTTTCAAGAATTTAATCATCATCATAGGTTTAGCATAAACGTCTAGATAGGAGTAGTTGACGATTATCTACTTGGATATGCGAAATCGCCGTTTAAATGGTGCTGATTACTTACATTCCCTGCAAAATGTGTTACGTGATTTGTTAGATGATGTGCTTTTAAATATTTGACAAAACTTATGGTCTCTACATGACGGTGCAGCCTATTTTAGCAGGAATTAGTAGTTGCTTCACCAGCATCGCATAGTTGCCTTGCTATTGTTTATTCCATTCCCATACAAAATCGTGCACAGCTGTGGCTAAGGATACAAGATGCTTGCAACGAATTTGGAAATAACTATGGAATTTTTGCAAAATTTCGGCGTTCTCTAAACAAAACATACTTGTTCTATTGTGTTCTGTTGATAAGTTTTATGACGAAACAATGAAAAATTTTCAAATCGATTTTTCTAAATATTGGTCATTCGCTTGTGACCAATACTAGAAATTCGCAATTAAGAATACTCTGAAAGATAAATAATTGTACTAGTTTTCGTTTTTATAAATAGAGGCATTCTGGAGTTATCTAAAAAAAAATAATTGCAAAGCGCCATCTTCAAAGCGCTTTAGCTCCCTTAGGAAGCATTGTAGGACTAGATGAATTGATTTAATTTTTTTTTAAATTATCTGAGAAATCTCCGGTCTTCGTTTGTCAGGCGAGTTTATGGATACCATGTATCTGTTAATAATGAAGATAATGAAAGGCTAATCTAAACTCTTGTTTATAAAAATCGCTGTCTAAATAAAAAATAGGTGTGTTCTGTGCATAATGTTAATAGCTCCATTAGCTTTTCATATTTAACATAACATTCACTTTTGACTTAGTTGTGAATGTATCGGTCTTCCCTAGATTGGTCCTTATTACTTTCAAGGATTTTCCAGAGGCTAACTGGAATGTTTTTTTTTTGGTTGTGTAAAGGAAAATACAAACAAGAAGTGGTAATCAGAGATTTTGGAATCGGAGTAAGAAACGAAAGAGGCGAAATGCTTATTCAACACAAACTGTATGCAATGAACACCTTTTTTAAGAAGAAACAGAATAGAAAATGGACGTGTGCTAGTCCAGACGGAAGAACTAAAAGCGAATATGATTATATAATAACAGACAAAAAGCAAATTATTCAAGATGCCACTGTACTAAATAAACTATCAGTAGGAAGCGACCACAGACCAGTAAGAGCTAAAGTAACGACAAATCTACAAAAAGAAAGAGCAAAGATGATAAACAGTTGCAAACGCATAGTTTGGAATTCACCAAATCATCCAGAAGCATACATAAAAAATATAGCCGAAACTTTACAGAGTAATAATCACAAACCTCTAAGTATCGACGATCACAATAAATTAATAACAGACTCGGTTAGAAACGCACAACTCAAATTATGCAAGAAAAATGACACCAAAAGTGAAAAGATTAGCAAAGATACAAAAGCTCTCATGGAAATACGACGAAACCTAAGC